TGAGAGAACATGGCTACAGAACCTGGCTGGAGAACCTGGAGAACGTGGCTGGAGAACCTAGCAAGAGAACATGGACACAGAACTTGGCTGGAGATTGTGGCTAGAAATCCTGGCAAGGTTGCTGATCAAGTGAACGCTGTCTCCGTGTCATTCCTTCCTCGCCGACTCCGTCCACACCCTGGACCTGCTGGGGTTGGACCCCAGCACTAACTCAGCTCTGATGAAAATGGTATTGGAGGTATTGAAGGATGAATAGGAATTTGTAGGAAGGGGAAAATCTTTCTAGAGAATGGAAAAAGTGTGAGCACTGTCTCAGAGGTGTGAATACACGTGGCTTATGACAGTGGTAATTGCAGCATTGAGATTATTTTTGAAATGACTGTCTAAACTAGGTAGTGGAAGTGAAGCTTAAGGGCTTTGAAAGGGAGGAGATGAAAAAGGAAGTAAGAATTGGAATGACAAGGAGTTTGTGGGCAAGTAGAGTATATGCATTAGATTCAGAGCTGGTATAATTCCAGATCTTCCCATTGGAGAAAGTTGCCTATATAAAGTGGAGGGAAGGCTGTTAGAAGTTGCAGACATAAAGGAACTTTGGTGGGTATTAAAGTGAGCGGTTACAAAGATATTGATTAAAGTAGATTACGGTGATATCAGGCAGTAGTTGGAAAAGCAAGATTAGGAGCCATGTACCAAAGACTTCAGGGACTGAGGGGGCATGACTGAGATAGGTAGGTGATTGATGAAGAGGAGAAGAAAATATGATAAGTGGAGATGGCTTAAGCTTCAAGGACAGAAAATATCAAGTCAGTGTTTTACTTCATCCAGAGGTTTCTCTGTGGTCAAGGTAGAGAATATAGTAAAGTTTCATGGAAAATAGTTGAAGAGCTGGAAGGAATCTTAGAGATTATCTAGTTTAACCTCTTTGTTTTGTGGATGAGGAAACAGGACCAGAGAGAAGAAAGTTCCTTCCTTTGGCATTATAAACAAGTTTAGAGTGAATGTGA